CATGTTATGGATAACTCTTATCCCTTTCTTGACTTTGTTAAGTCACTTTAACCCTAGGTTAGAATCCATTAGACTTTGCTTCAAGTCTAAAAAACCCACCTGTACTAGGAGTGTTCTTCAACTAGAACCCTAGGAAAGAGTTTGTCAACTCTGTGTAAGAATCATCGTCATGATTTCTTACTTCCCCTTTTGAGTATTACAACTTAGAATAGGGAGTTTTGTCAAACTCCATACAAACATTGTCATGTTTGTTTACCCTTGAACCTTGATTATAATCAAGTGTTCTTATTCCCTTGGGAGGTGAACTACGATTGCTCTGATTCTATCCTAGTCAGGATACGTAGGCAGAAGATGCGACGTCTTTGCGAGCAAACTTAGAAAACCAACTAGGTCTTTACTTATCTTTACACTCAACTCCCAATCCTAAATCCATAGTACATATTTCACACTTAGCAAGCAATCAAACAAAAGGTTCCTGTAAAGTACTACAGATGCTTAGGGTGCTAACACCTTCCCTAAGTATAACCAACCCCCGATCCCCGAATCTCTTAAGCGTTGTCGTTACATCGCAAAAATGGTTTTTCTTTCTTTAGACCTTTCCTTTGGATAAAATAAAGTTTGGTTGTAAAAGAAATAAGGTTCAAGTTAATTTAATAGCTTGATATCCAGTTTTCACCGCAACAAGGAGAAACTTGATTCTAGGTCGAAAGTGTCTTGGAAGTTGGTTGACTTTTGTTGACTGAAAATATGTTCATCTGAGACCTCTAACTTGGTAGCATCATATCTTGAGTTCCACAAACCCAATGGATGAGTTCTAGTACTCAAAAGAAAGCTTAGAACATGATCTACAAGTCTCATGTTTGCATCAAAGAGAGATTAACCTTGTATCTTGAGATATGTGGTCTTGAAGTTGGGTACTAAACAGGGGATTTTACACTGACAACCCTTTGAAACCCTAATTTAGTAACTTCTCACACTCTTAATTCTTTTTTGTTTGAACTTGAAATAACATCCTAGATGTCTCAACACAACTTTCCATGACTTCAATGACTTAGAACTAAGTCTCAAGCTCTTTCAAGTTCACAATGAACCTTGCACTAGACAGATGAAACCTTAGGTGTACAATGCTTGACTGCAACCTCTTGCAAATGATATGACAACTTAGATAAGCTCCATAATGGCTCTCAAAGCACTCCATGAGCTTCTCCAACATCTTTTATCCATAACCATGGACTTGTAAACCCCTGATAAACCTCAGTTGACCTCCAAGATAGGAGGTAAGCAACATACATCAATCTTCTCTCTCAAAGAACTTTGACCTTCTCCTAATGATCGTGAGCACTTGATAACTTAAATAAGCACTCTTGCTTGAGCTTGAAACCCTTGAGATCCTCTACTGATTGGCACACCTCTCTTGATCCCCTGCAAAGAACAATGTTATGCAAATGCAAAATGTTAAAAAAAGAAATGAAACATAAGCCAAGTAAAGAAAAAGGTTGGGCAAATTTTGGGGTACAACAATAGTAAGGTCCTCTTCGAAGGGTAATTCCTGGTTTTCTTTCACATGTTCCCTTTGTGGGTGTCGAGGAGGATTTGGTATCCCAAAAAATTAATTAAACGCGTCATTTGCACTGCCAGTTGTTGGTTAGTTTGGGTAGTGTTTTGGATAAGGGTTGAAATATTTCTCCCATAGTCTGGGACATCATTTGTACCATCTGGTGGTTATTTTCATCCATTTGTTGTCTCAAATAAGAGGCAGAACCAATTGTTAGGTTATGTGTTGGGACAGAGTATCCTACGTTTTGGTTGTTTCGACCCACATTCATTCCAGATGTTGACCCCTATAATGGCGAAGTTATCACCTGTTCTGCGTGTACAGGAGGGGCGTTATGGAGGCTTGCCATTACTGATGTTGGCATACCATATGGTGGGTTTCGCGGCAAAAGCATCAAAAACCCTGATGGGGGAAATACTCCTATACGTGGAAGTTCCTACTGGAGGTGGGGTATATGGAGGGCCCCTTGGTCCAATGTAGGTCAAAATTGGTTGCATATGAGTAATCAAATGCGTAGGCATCGAAGTCCCCATAGTCGAAACCGCTTCAGCAACAGAAAAAGAACCCGTTTTCCCTTCTGTCGAAGGTGGCACGGGAAGCTCCGTGTTATCGCTACCATTGTATGGATCCTGAGGAGTGCTTGGCTGATTTGTATTTGACGTCATTCTCCTAATATATCCTTTGTTAGTTCGAGTTTCGTTATTAGTGGTTATCTTACCACTTCTTAACTGCATACAATGAAAATTTTACGCAGGGATCTCTAAAAAAAAAATTTTAACAAGAAACTCTGATTAGCACAGGTCCCCCCGGGTGTGTCAATTTGTTTACCGTGAAATTTGGAGACCAACCACTGGTCTAACAAATCTTAAAGACTCGTTTTAACTTGCAGGATCGACCATACTAAATCCTAAGACATAGTTAATCTGAGTTTAAAATCAACTGAAATCTAAAAGAGAAGGATAGATACTTCGACAGTATTGAAAACAATATAAAAGATTTTGGCAATAAAGCAAGTAGAAAATGAAAGCAGTTTGGGGCGAAGAAGATAGCAATTCGAAACAACAGGTAAAGACTAGAAAATATAACTTGCATAAAAGCAGTAAAGTAAAGGAAGATTCTTATAAAAGAAAAGAAGAACTTTAATGCATTACAATAAATGATGGTGTTTCGACACGTACATTCTCAGTTATAACTCTTTTCTCACTTTGACTTAGATACTTTGAGTAATTTTCTGAGTGACTTGTACAAGATGAACACACACACAAATCTTAAATTGAGCCATTATTTATAACCAGTCGAAATAACCGCTCCTAATGACTCAATGGACTAGATTAAAACAAATGTTACTTTGCATGCTTTGATGAATTGAAACGGTGTCACATGCCTCCTTCTATTGGTGGAAAATAACTGAATTTCCCTCCAGAATTCGAATTCAAACTTCAAAGGTTCTTGTCTGTCGAATCGTCAGTTTTCTAGTCGAAATCCTTGCAGCCTAACCATAGTCGAAGATGCTGCCTTAACTCAAAAATCTAACATTTCCACCTAGGCATCAAAATTTAAGACTAACAAAGGTATGGCGCTTCCTCATAGTGGGTTCTAGTGCACTTGAGTTCGCTTACATTTCTAGGTGAAATTGATTCGTTGACATATAACTTCTTGTTTCTACTGATCTCATATGTTGATTGTCTTCTTCTATGTATAAGGGTTTTTGAGCTTTGGAAGAACTTTCGCTACCCTTGAAAGTCATTTTCCATTTGAGAGTGCTTTTTCTTCCTTGCTTTTACTTGACTTTCATTTTCTCGTCAGACTCTACTTTTCCAATCACTCTTCTCTCTTTAAGCTCTTTCATAAGAGATGGAGATATAAAACCGGGAATTGTAGAGTTTTGGAAACAGAGTCATATAGGGTGCATCTTGACTGCTTGGTAGCATAAGACATACACTTTCATTCTTACGTCACTCACTGTGAGACGCGTCCATTGGAGGACATTTCCTTCTACTCTAAATGGTTGGTTTGCGATTCACGTCTGACGTATTCTTAAATGTCTGAGTGCGTCATGTGTCAGTTTAACTACATGCAGTATATTCCCAAAGACCCTTCTGTGTATGCTCCTCTCGCTATGACACATAGAGAAATGAATGTTATGTTTGATGATTATCTCATACCGGAGGAAGCATGGAGGACCATACCTTCTAGTGACTAGAGCTACACAAATGGTTACATCATGTGATTCTTTAGGATGTCACATCCTTATATTACAAAATACTCTATAAGATCCATCGAGATCAGCTCATCAAGAGATACTAGAGGAGGAGTATGTTAGGGCAGATCATGTTGTTAATGTGTTACTTAGATGTCATCGTATCATGGAGATTGGGCAGGCGGGTATTGATAGAGGACTCTTTCTAGATGGTTTTAAGGCCAGGGACATTGTAGTTGTCATGATAGCGGAGGCACGAGAGGCACTACATTATAAGAAGCAATGTAGGAACAGGGGTCCCGAGTCCTTCATACGCAGTAGTTTATAGTATTTGTACTCTAGATTTATTATCGATTGTATTTTATTTTGACTTATTTCTGCTTTATTGTGTACTCTGAATTTATTACTTTATACATGTCATTTTCTTCATATCGGTTGTATGGTCTAATTCATCATAGTATAACTTTAATATATTGTCAATTTCATCTGATCATCACTAAAATAAACTTAAAATTTACTATCGGGTGTGCTTACAAAGTTACATCTTCGAAATCTATTTGGTGTGAATAAGGAGATGCATCTCCAGAACAATTTAAAAAAAAAAAAGGACATTTTAGTGAGTGGTGCATGAGGTGTACATTGAATTATTAAGAAGATGTACCTCCAGATTAAATTTTGAAATATATATTAGATGTGACTCAATTTTAACATTTTGATTAAAGCAAATGGTGTATCTGATGATGCATCTCCAGAATCTAAAAGAAAAGTTCGAATTTTCATAAGATGCTTTTCCACCATTTAGAATGAGATTAATAATTCCCTAACCTATTTACATGGATCGAGATCAATGTTGTTGACGCTTGAAGACCGAGACGGACTCTCTGACCCGAGTATAGGTCCTATCCTAAATTTAGGGACATGTACAAGTTTACTTATATTTTATTTTCGAATGAGTATAATCTATTCATTACTAAAATAAACATTCATGAATGTCAAAAATAAATGTGGAGTGAAATAGAAGGGAAAGTGACAGAGAAATGAAAAGGATTTAACATTGAGTGGAAGAGGGTGGCTATTTGCTTCAAAGGTTACCAAACATGATTATGATTACATTTCACTCAAAAACTTCATCATCAAATAACAGTTGAGATATTCTCAAATTTTTAATATATAGTTCACATTATTAAAATCAACTATGTATTCAAACAGTTTGAGAAGAGAAAGAAGATCAATAGTTTAATCAGAATGGCATGCATGGATAGAGCATCTCCTGCTCTCAAACAAATACTGCTCAAGCTGTATCGGTAAGAAAATTTATATTACATAATCTTCAATGGTTAATGCTCATTTAGAAAACGATGTTGAAGTGCTTATTCATCACTTTACAGTGCTGAGAAGTCCATTGAGATTGATCATCACTTATACGAATTCGGATCAGTCGAATACCATGTTCAGGTTAAACTCACTAACTCTGTGTGTTTGAATTGTCGATGAGTTCGACAAAATCAATAAAAGGAATTTCCAATAAGAATTGATTATTTCTCTGTTGCTTTACTTACAGTCTCAAGCCTCTAATCCTCGAATAGCCTACTTATCAATATCAATACCTCCTCTTTGCAATGGAATCCTACCAAATGATCTTTCTCCATACACCATTGAAATGGTAAAGGGAATTTGTCCTAATGTTGTCGAGATCGAAGAGCCTTCTAGAGAAGGATTTCAGCTTACTTTGAAGCTTAACCTAGATCAGATTCCAAGAAATAAAGGTTTGTTTCCCTTAATTTATTTGCTAATGTATGATTTTCACATAATTAACTTAGATTTTAACCAGTCTGGCATTCTGCACGATTCTTGTTGCAGACTATGTCAAGGTTTTTGAGGATATTTCCTCGGTTCAATCGGTTATTCTGAGTTCACAGCTGAAAGAAATATTGTGGAACGTGAATTCTGATGATGCGTCTCCGGGAATGTACAAACCCATCAAACTCGTTTATCATCCGAGAGAACCCTTCTTTGTCATCAGGCAGGTAATTTTTACTAACCAAATCTTCAAACTTTTCATGAAGAATGCTATAGAAGAAATCTAAGAACACTAAGATCATATAATTCATGATGCATACAGCCACAGAGAATCATAGCAGTATTCCCGATTCGTTTCAGAGAGAAATCAGATATCGTTATTGCAACAACTTTCTTTCAGGTTTGCAGCTTAAGGAAAACCAATTAATTTATTTTAAACTCGACCTGCTTTCAACTCAATCGTTTTAGCTTACCTACAACAGGAGCTTATGGATGTTGGAAATTCAGATAAATGGACAAAGACACCCCCTTGCACCTGGTCAGCCATTCCTCCACCAGAGTTGAGAGGAGAAGCTTTCGCGGATTTGAGTACCAATGGAGGGTTTTTCTCTTTTGGTATACTATTTTCCTCCAACAACCAACAATAACTCCATGAACTATTTGCTACAAGCCATAAATTGATTACTATTTTGGTATTTTATAGAAATTTCTTCTCGGCATGTTGAAGGAAATAGGCTAGACAAAACCGTCTGGAATCTACTAAATTTCAATACCTATGTTCGAAACCATGTAAAGGTAAAGGCAATAATAACAGTGTTTTATAGCGACAATTTCCAGTTGAGAATTTATGATATCTTTGACTAACATCTGTTCTACAGAGCACGAAAGGTTTCATTCATAGAAGGATGAGGAAACGTTTGGAAAATTTGGTTCAGGTACATAAGCACCTGAATTGAACAATAACTTGATTGTTTGAATATAGATTTCTGCAAGAGAAGCATTGAAATTTTATGTGCATAGTGAGATAAGTGTTGTGAATGGCAATTATAGCATAGCAGAATTTGAATAAATCATGTGAGATACACTTATTAGTAGTGTTTTCAAATCGCGGCTATTGTATTACTATAGCCCTGTAGCGTAGCGGAATTTAAACAAACTGTTGCTTTCCGCGGTCCACAACCAACAACACTTAGTCAGACCTAAATGGAATCCATCCGTACTCAAATAGGCACTTCCTATGCCAGAAACAATAATGCTCGTTACACCGATAGGCATTCACTATAAATAGCTAAAACATGTTTGATAAATGTTGTCCGCAAATCCTAGCAGAAATGGCAGAAGCCGTTATTGCTAAGTTGGACGTCATTACTAGGATTCGAACTTGAACGTGTGAGTTTCTAGTGGTTATTACCACTTTGTCTACAGACCCTAAAAAACCATGTTTGATAAACGCTAATCCTTTCATCATACTCGCAGGTTCTGCACGGAACAAACTCAGAAGAAAATGAACAAGCCAAACAAGTAAAACAACGTCAAGGTCTGCTTTCTGCTAAACACATTTAAATACTGATGACAAAATTGTCAGAACTGTTAATTTACAATTTCTATTCAACATGCAGGATTTAGGTATACAACAAAACTAGTAAGATCATCGAAACACACCATGAAACAACGATGGCGCACGTTGGGAAGAAAAATTAAGAGAATTCATTTCCGACTTAAAATTCATGGATTTACACGATTTCGTCAACGTTGGTTGAGGTTCCCGAAATTTTCTTCAACAAAATATACAAAACTGGAGTAGATATTTTTGCATTTATTACATCTTATGCAATACATGGACTCCTACTACGCGAGAAGATGTTCAGTGCACTATTCGATAAACTGTGTTGTATAGTTATAAATTTATCCGACTTTAAACTACTGGATTGCAAACAAAAGAGAGTATATTCATATCTCTAGGCAAGTTTTCTCCAAATGCTATAACTTTCATTGATTGTAAACATATATATTATTCAAAATATCTTGACATGATGAAACATTGCTACAAAATCTGAGTAAACAACAAACTAAAGAAAAATCGGTAAGAACTTTCTAACCTGGAATTTCAAAAAACACTAACGATTCGCATTGCAATTTGCAACCTTTCCTTCAATGTTGTCATCAAAACAAATTCATTCCTATTTCACTTCACCCCATCTCAAGATCACACATCCTCCCACTTGTGGATTCAAGCTCAGACAACAACGGTCCCTTCACCTCACCGCATTTCAAATTCCTCTTACTCGCCATCACTCCAAACACTCCAAACCCCAAAATTAACACCACAGCAGCATGCAAAATGAACAACAGCTCCATCATAGCAGCACCTCTCAAACTATCCTCATCAAGATCACACAGAATATCCACATTCTCCATCTGAGGTGTCAAACTCAAAATCGAAATCTTTTGACACCCTTTTAACCCAAAAGTATTTGTATACAAAGAAAACCCAATTTGCAACAACCAAGTCCCCTTGAAAACTAATCCAGAAGACAACAAAAACTCAGCAAAAAACGCAGTTGGCTTAACTGCCAGATAAAAGCATGTAAAAGCACATACAAGAGTCAATCCACCTAACAATCCATAAACAACACCAGCAACACCTGAAATCCCTTTATCCATTACAGAATACTCCATCAGAAAAACAACACCACCAAAAAGAAAAACAAGACTTTCAGTAACAGAGAATGAGTTAACATATTCAATCATAATGATCAATATGATCAAGACCCAGAAGGCTAAAACAGCGAACGATTGCTGGAAGAATGAGAATCTGTAAGTGGGGTGGTGAGAAAACGAGAGAAAGAGAAAAAGCTCTGAGAGAGATGCAAAAGGTAAAGCTATGAGAAGAAGATAGAGATCAAGATCTTTCCATTTTGGGTCGGAGAAATACCAGAGCTTGGATCGGAAGTGAGATGGATTTTGAAGATAGAAAGAGGAGGAAGAGAGTAAGCGATGAATGCCAATGGGAAAGAATAGGACAAAACCAGAGAAATTGGTGACTAATGATGCCATTTTTTGAGGTTGTTCTGTTGTTGTTGATGATGTTTTATTTCATTTCATGTCTCTCTTTTGGTTCTTTGGCTGGGGAATTTGTCAAGAAAAAAAATTGGTCTTTGTTGCGAGAAATTGTACTCTTATATATATATATATATATATATATATATATATATATATATATATATATATATATATATTATTGACACTAAAGTTTATCAAATATTTTATACAGTTCAGTAAGTGATAACCTCTAATAATTAAGGGCTATCAAAAATTTTAAGGTATATTGTGTGTATGAGAGCTAGTTCAAATTGAAGGTAAAAAGTTTAATGTATGTGATTTCTTGTACCAGAATGTGATTGTCCCTTCAACTTTAATTGTTGAGGTATTTATAGCGGTCTTATGTATAAATCATAGGCCCTTTAGGAATAGGAACTACTATTAAGAGGATGCAAGAGTGGAAGATTAATTTACTGTTATTTTAGAGAGCGTGGTCAAATAATCCCTCACGTAAAGTAATTGAATTGAAATATGTCATTTTTCTACTTTCTGATGTCGGACGACCATTTCTAGAAGGAGACGACGTACTGAATAAAAGGGGCGACATGTCTAGTAAACAAACGCTTGTACTAGAAAACGTGTAATTAGGAAGGTGTTATGGGCTAAACTAAAGTTCTTTATCCCCACCTTGCCCCTTTTGAGTCCCTTATTTGATATACCAATACACAACCCCTCAAGCACAGAAGCTTGTAAAGAGTAAAGTGTTTTAGTTTCTTTTTCCTTATTCAGACGCCCTAAAGGGAAGATTAAATGAAGCATTTAAGCAAGGCTCGACGTGAGTTCCATTTATGAGACTTTAATTGAGTTCTTCGGGCGAGACTTTAGTTGGGTTACTCGAGTTTGGCTTTAATTGAGTTCCTCAGGCGAGACTTTAGTTGAGTCCCTCAGGTGAGACTTTAGTTGAGTTGTCTTTAAGAGATGACGTTTATGTTACCCCCTTTCGAAGAAGGCGTGGATCTTTTTGTGGAAGTTAAGAATTTATATTGCCCTTTTTTTTAAGGCGACAAGAATCTTCATGTGGAAGTCTAACATTTAAATTATTCTTTTTAAGGCAGAAAGATTATTCTTATGGATCTAAAATAAGGAATGTTGTAAATAAGGGATGGATCATGGTATCTAACTATGAAGGAAGTTCAATTTGTTCCTACACATAACATTTATTTTGTTGTAGTAAACAAATCTGAAAAGGATTGAACCAAAGATGATACAAAAATGTGCACCGCAATTTGAAGGCAAATGTTGTTATCACTACCGCTATTGGTCTTGATGAAATTTTGCTAGTTTATAATTGCGAGACTGTAAAAGAAATATGGGACATCCTCCAAATTACCCATGAAGAAACTACTGAGGTAAAAAAGAGCAAGGTTGAGCATATTAACTCACGAGTATGAACTTTCAGAATGAAACGTGAAGAGAACAAAAATCAAATGCAAATATATTTTATCCATATCGTGAGTCATATGAAAAATCAAATTCCAATTTTTATTGACGCCTTAAAAAGGACTAACCTCCAAACACCAATTTGCATTGGTACTTTAGAACATAGCTTTGTTTGACTCTTTCAACAAAAGAAAACCAAGCATTGCTTACCTTGAAAGTCCAATATCCATGGGTACACATTGCATGCATTAATCATTTATATATCATGCATAAAAGCAAAATTCAATATCATGCATAGCACAAAATGTGTTTCATGCTCATCCGCATTTCCCAAAGACCCGTTGTCGTTAATAATTTACCCCTTGGTCAAAAGTCCAACTTTGTTCGGCACCTACAGAAGATAGAGATTTGTCCGTTAAGGTTCAAATTCCTTTGTTATCTGATGAATTTCTAGATATTTCTTGTCGTTTTAACATGATTTCTAGAACTTATTTCTTTTTCTATCTAATGAATTTCTAGATATTTCTTGTCGCTAGGACATGATTTCTCGAACTTCTTTCTTTTTTGGTCTAATGTGATTTCCATATACGTCTTTTTCGTTCTGATGTGATTTCCAGAACTTATCTGATGTGATTCCGGATGTTTCCTTGTCATTTTGTTGTGTTTTCCATAATTTCTTTCTTTTTCACCCGACGTGATTTCTGAATGTGTCTTTGTTGTTCAGATGTGATTTATACAAATATTATTTCCCTTTCTATCTAATGTGATTATAGGATGTGGCTTTTCATTTTGATGTGATTTCATGAACTTCTTTATTTTTCTACCCAATGTGATTTTCGAATGTGTCTTTCATTCTGATGTGATTTTTGGAACTTGTTTCCTTTTTATTTGGTGTGATTTTTGGATGTGTCATTCGTTTTGATGTGATTTCTAGAACTTGTTTCCTTTTTACCCGATGTGGTATTCGAATGTGTTTTTTATTCTAATGTGATTTCTATAATTTGTTTCCTTTTTATCTGATGTGATTTCCAGATTTATCTTTCGTTCTAATGTGATTTTCAGAACTTGTTTCCTTTTTATCCTATGTGATTTCAAAATGTGTCTTTCGTTCTGATGTGATTTCTAGAACTTGTTTCCCTTTTATCCGACGTGATTTCTATATGTGTTTTTCGTTCTGATGTGATTTCTAGAACTTGTTTCCTTTTTATCTGATGTCATTCCTGATGTATCTTTTGTTCTGATGTGATTTACATAACTTGTTTTCCTTTTATCCGATGTGATTTTAAGATGTGTCATTTATTTTGATATGATTTACAGAACTTGTTTTCTTTTTATCTGATGTGATTTCCATATGTGTCTTTCATTCTAATGTGATTTCCAAAACTCGTTTCCCTTTTATCCGATGTGATTTCCAAATGTGTCTTTCATTTTGATATGATTTCCAAATTTTGTTTCACTTTTATTCAATGTGATTTTCGCATGTGTCTTTCGTTCTGATGTGATTTTCATAACTTGTTTCTTTTTCATCCGATGTGTCTTTTTATTCTGATGTAATTTCTAGAACTTGTTCCCCTTTTATCTGATGTGATTTTCGAGTGTGTCTTTCGTTTTGATGAAATTTTTAGAACTACCTTTGTTTTCTGTCCGATGCATTTTCAGATATTTATTGTCGTTCTTATGGACTTCCAAAACATACATTTTTTCTCCCCAATAATTATTTTTCACATTACCTCATTTAATCCCTAATGAGTTCACCTTGCACTTTTTATTGCTAATAAAGGTGATCTAACAAAACTCATTCCATTCCATTTCATATCCCTAGCAAGAGAAATTCTCCATAAACTCCTAGAATTTCATTTCATTTCATCAAGGGGCAAATTTTAGGTCTTTTATATTTAACCATCTTCCACCATGACAATATGAAGATTGACGTCCTTCATATCTTCTAGTTAAAGATATTTAAATAGGAGCATTTGTCATACCCTAAATTTTGCCCCAAGTTTTTATCCATTTAATTACGACATTTGCATCGCATTTCATTACATTCTTAGGCAGTCAACTTTGTTTTTTTATGCTCAAAATAGCATTGCAGTTTTATAGACAGACCAATTGAATCATTTTTAATCACGCACAAAATCGGAGAACAATGTTTCTAGGTTTAGGTGGGTAAGTGCATGTTTTACCGAACTATATTACACGTAGGTTAATAAGGTGCGCTCATGTTATTTTTTCTTTGCATTCACGCGCGTTTGCATTTTATTCAGTTTGAGCCTTTTTCTTAAGGTATTTTTAACTGCGATAAATGATCTGTGACAGTATGTT